AACAATTAAAAAATCCTCATAGAGTTCCTACTACATGCCAGGCACATGGCTAAGCGCTGAAGACCTATGAATAAGGCAGACAGAGTATTCAGCCTATAAGAGTCTAACTTCTAGCAGTGAAAACAAAGATGTAAACCAGTCAATTATAAAACATTCAGGGAAATAAGTGCTACATTACAAAGTCCAGTGTGGACATCTAGAAAAGGAACAAGAATATAATGGTTTGAGAATTGAGAGTAAGAGAACGGCTTCATTTATCCAGGCTAAAGAGTGAAGGTAGGGAGTTGATTATTATAAGAGAATTATCTTAAATAGAAAAAGAAAAGACATGGAAGCGAAGAATTTAAGTATGAAAATAATGACAGTTCTTGGTCCAGGCAACACCATGTCCAAAAATTGAGATAAAAATTTGAGATGAAGTAAAACTGGACACAGTTCAAAATGGCTGAAACACACAATTTAATGGTTAAAGTGCCAGGAAACATAAGCTCTTGACCAAATCACAAAGAATCTTGCAAATCTTATTTTAAGGAGTTCTTCTTCTATCCTGAAGAAAATAGGGAGCTATGGTGGTGGGGGAGGAGGGAGGAACTTAATGAGAGAATGCCATGACGAGATAAAATTTTATAAAGATTACTATTTCTATTGTGTGTATAACTATGGCCAGGGAGACTGGTTAGGAGGCTACAGCAGTGGTCCAGCAGCATTAAGGGAGGGGAATGGTGATAGCGATAAATGAATCTTCAAAAAATCTTTGGAGTAGACACAAGTAAAGCATGTGGTTGTGAGACAGTTAACTCTCTACATCTTTCCGCAGTTTCTGCTCCCTTTGTGTCTACTGTGGCTATAATAATAGATTTTACTGCCATTTCCCCTGTAATCCTTTCTTTCTCTTGAGTATTAAAACCAAACATACAGAAAAAAATATATATCTGTCAGAAGAATATAAAAAGTCTTGCCATTTATCTGAGGGTGTCTTAGTGTATTTTCTTTCTATTGCATGCTTGTTTTACCTTTTCAACACTGCCATGTTTTGTGGGAATACAAGAGGTAAACTACCAGAAAATCGACAATCAAGAAAGGGAAAGAAAACGGGCTCATATAAACTAAAAACTAAGAATTCAACTCTTCAGTCATCTAGAATGGTGGTTCTAGAATATAATCACATAAAGGATTTTAAAGAAAAAAGAAATACTATATTCAGACCCAGCCAACCCCTACCACTTCTCACTCCTCAAATTGTATGAATATTGCTTCGTTTGACTCTCTTATAATTCTCCTGACTGAAATTAAAATCAAGCTAAAGATTAAATCAGATTTATTTATATTTTTAATTTTAGCACAGTGCCTGTAACATTGCAGTCATTCAATACTTATTTAATTCACTCAACAGCTACTTACTGACAGGTGTTGGGCATGCTATGGGAAAGAGGCATTTAATATTTTGGGGTTTTTACACTGTACAGCACTGACTTTCTATTATTGACTATTAAGCCACATTTAAAAATATTTTTTCATATGCAGTGTGCATTTGCAAGCACACACACCAAAAAAATATACATACACAACTGAAACACATTTGTTGCAAAATAACACTCTAACCACGTGTAACACACTTTGAAATTTTCTATTATTTTATGTTCATTTTTGTAAAAAGAAAAAAAAAAGAAGAAAAATGATGGTTGTAATTCATTATATTGATTTCAATACAAAACGAAGGTATTTTTGAAGAAGTCTTTTTTTACAGTGGATGTTCTAACTCTATTTTTGAATATTGACAGTAACATGTGCTTTAATTTCAATAAAAATACCAAAATTTTAGAGTCTTTAAAAAAAATCCCAATTGTTTCCAAACAACTCAATCTGTTGTGAATAAGACACAGAGTTTTATCTCACTTACCTTTACTTTACTTAAAGGAGATTCTCTCATGGGCAAAGAGATATAACTCTTTAAGTTTCACACTGATACACATACGATGAGATAATTTTTTTAATAGACTCTATTAGTATTAGGAAAAAAACTAAAAGTGAGCAATTTTTCACCAGTAACATCACACACAATATTAAAAATCAGAAACACAAGAACATCCGTAATAACCTTAATAAATCATACTTCATAAAAATAAAGTCACTTTTTTTTCTCTTAGACAAAATAACATAGCATGGATAGAACTTACAAATATAGAAGATCTATAATATTGTATTTTGAACTACAGAAAGAGAAAAATACTCCATTTTCTTTAGATAACTCACATAACCGATATGTAAGCACTAAGTTCAAAGAGAGTTTTCTTTGCCTAATAAAGTGCTTTACTGATCTCTCTCAATAAGGAATCCAAATACCAATATTGATGCAAACCTATAGCAGAGACTTTTCCTTCTTTTCTCTCTCTATATCTATCATCTTCTTTTTCTCTAGGAATAGAAGTTTAATGGGGCATATGTCCACCCAGCTAACGGCTATATTTCCCAGTACCCTTTGCTACTAGGCATGTTTACATGATCAGGTTGTAGACAATGCAATAAAAACTGAAGTGATACGTGCAACTTCTTGGCCATAAACTTAAAAGAAAAGGAGTTCCCCTTCTTATTTCCCATTTTTGTTAGCAGCATGTGAACAAATGGCCACTTATAGATCGAAGATGAAAGTCAGGTATTAAGGAGGGTTCACACTGTTAGATGAGAGAGAATTAAATGCATATCCTGCTTAAGCCTCTATTATTGTCCTTTCTTAAAGTACCCAAAGCGATATCCCAAGTAAAACGAAATTCCTATTCCAAAATTGACTTCTCCAAACTGAGTGGGTAAAGGAAGATAAAATAGTGTGCAAAGTTTAAATAGGATATAGAAGCATGGTTAATGAACAAAAGCATGAAAGGATGTGAGGCTGTCCCAGTGACAGGCAGTTATATGGTAATAGAAAGGTCATCAACTCCCACCTCAGCAATCAAGAGTGTCAAATAAACAATTCCTGGAGGATGAAGCTACTTGTCTTCTACAGATGGAAGCTTTTTTTTTTTTTTGACAAGATGAAACTTTCCTGTATATATTAATTTAAAATTCTGAAATAGAACATAAATTCATTCTACACATCACTACACCAAAATGTCAAAAGATTCACTTCCCAGCATGACAATGCACAGCAACATAAATATGAAAGGACTCCCACTTTAAATGTTGTATTCATACCGTGGAGCAGAGTCAAATGGGGTATTGTGAATGAATGTAACATTATCACATAACATATGTAAGGGGACCTAATGGAATGAAATAAAAGGAAAAAAACTGAAACGTTATTGATTCTTACAGATGGAAGATATTGCTATGGGTAAAACTACTCAGAGTGACAAACCACTTAATTATTCCAAATTTTTGTTATAATTGGCCTCTTATTAAATTGATTTGGAGATATTTCGATGTATTGTTATTTATTTGGTCTCTATCTCTTCAGTAGAGAGACCTTTTGTAGACAACGTTCATAAAGATCCACAAAACTGCACTGGCATATACAATGCAATTAATGGAAATCATATCTTTTTTATACAACTGCTGTAGAAAACCACAACACTGATTTTCAAACAGCTATTTGAAAATGTCATCAATATTTTGGACCTGTTGCCTGATTAAATTTTCCATTTATTATTAGCTAAATATTTTTGAACAGGTGCTTGTTGAGAGTAATAGCAACTTGCTGAACCAGTACTAGTGAAATTAGTAGAGTATACTTGATAGATATTTGCCTTATTCACGTTAAATTCTCAACACGACTGTGAAGTTAAAAAGTAAAGCCAAAGATGCTATAATTATAGCCTCTAAAAATGAAACTTAGGGAAAATATAAGACACTTTCTCCTTCCTATTCTTGATCTACACAATGGTTATTGTACTTAAATGAAGATAATATAGAGAAATAGTGACAACAATGGCACTCAAGCTTCTGAGAGGAAGGTGGTTCAATACAGTCATTTAGAAGCTGGAAAATAGTGAAAATTTATTTTCCTCTCCATAATATTTGTCTGTATAATGGGAGTGATAGAAATAGTCTTAGACTCGGTAGCAGTTATCTAGAAAGGAATTATATGGCATCCTGATAAGAAAATTTAGTAGGCTAAGAAGTATTCCTGATTATTTCATTCTAGGAATGCTATAAAAAGGCACAGCTCCAAAACAAAGGTTATCCAGTGTGTGATCACTTAAGGAGATGGAACAGCTTTCATCTCTGTGTAGATTTATTACTTAGATATTCATATTTAAAGTGTGTGAACTGCAGAAGAGAAAGACAAACTAAAAGGATGAACTTCCTGTTTTTATACCATAATTGTCCATAGTACTATCATATAAAAGAATGAACACAAAGTTCATGAGACAAAGACTAAATTAAACCAATTATTCTCTCTGGTCTCTCAATGAATAATAAGTGAATGAAAAAATGTTAGAGAACTCAATACCCATGGATATTTAGGTAAAATATGGAACCATAAGACACATTAGGTGCTTTAGCAGCTATATATTGTCCATGCGACTTTCAGAACTGTGATTATACATCTTTGAAATTCAGACGAATATGAAAAGTCTTCAGGAAATTTTGAAAAAAAATTAATAGAAGAAGACAAGCCAATTTTGTCCTTTATTAACAACTTAGCCAATTTGTTTTATCATAAAGAGAAAGCTACAGCATCTAAAAATCTCTAAGCCAAAATTCTGAGCTTCCATGGCATGACTTGAGAACACTTTACCTCTTAGAGATGTTCACTGGTGATGATGCAGTGGTGAGAGAATGGGAAGATAAAGATGGTCTCACTAAAGTCTATCTATAATGAAGGTGAGGCAGCACAACTAGTTATAAAATAGATAATTTTCCTTTTCTACTCATTTCTGTCTGCTATTCTCTGAACAGATATAACTTCTACCATGGGTATATCTGAAGGCAGCTATTCTGGATATTGTCAGGAAATTTAAAAGAATATTATATGGAAAAATATTTAAAAGTAAGCTACTCACCTATTCCAATGAAAGCAACTTTGTACCCTTCTTCTTTCAAAGTGCGAAGAGTCATTTCATTCACTGAAAGGCTTTTACCACAAATTATCTATATGAAACAACATTTGAATAATGATACTTTGGCATTTGATTAACAGAAGCTTAATCTTTAACATCAAAAAGAATGGAAACTCGATATACATAAAATTCTATACATATTTGGAACTATCTTTGTCTTTTAGTATAGAGGCTTACATATACAAAATAGTATATCAGTGGGACACTAATATGTTTTATTTCATGGCTAAATGCACATTTATCTTTTAATAAAGTAGTGAAGAAAAGCTAATGTATTTAAAATCATGTCAGTAAACTTTCATAGCTTGCTTCAAGGCACTATGTAGGGGCACTTTAAGCTATAAAATGACAAATGAGACTCCATTTCTGCCTCAATGGTAGTCAAGATCTGCAAAGAAGATTACAAAAATAAATATAACATAAAACATAGTGTGAGCAGCACAGGTCTATGGGTATTTAGAAGAGGAAGAGATTCATTCTGGCTAAGGTCATAAGGATGAGAATAAAGGGAGGTAGTAGGATTTCACTAGGACCTTTTTAAAGAATGGATAGAATTTTGAAAGGGAACATTGCCCAGGGAAGAATAAGGTCAGGAAGCAGAGGGGAGTCACTCCTACTAAAAGTCACAATATTTTGGTCAGTTCCCAGACATGACCCAATTTTCATATCTGGAATCTACTGACAGCAGAGGTGGCCAGGTCCCAGAAAGAAGTATCCTGCACCATCCAGGCAAATAATACTGTGATGAATACCCTAGTCCTTCTCCAGTGGGAACTATGGCTATTTATCCAGTTTACTGTGCACTGTGGAGGAGGGAATCACCACTCATTTCAAGAGCATTGGACACAGATTCTTTATCGACACTGACACCTGAAGATGTAACGGTGGGACTTACTATGACGAGGGAAAAAATGAAGCCTGGCTCAAGTCTAGTTCACAGTGGGCCCACCGAGGTCACAGACCCAGTTACTGACTATTTTCCTAGTCTTCAACCACAATATCAAAATTGTTATACTTGTCAGTTGAAGTAACATCACATTAGGTCTCTCGTCTCACTGCTAAGAGCTACAACAGCTTTAATAATTGGGAAGGCCAAAACCTTCCGAAACCCTAGTTGAGAGTAAATCAAACACACTATTATATCCTGGGGATGGGTGGGATGAGGAGAGACGAGGGTGGGCCATGTCATATTTCTGTTTAATTCACCAATCTGGACCCAGCTGAGACCAGATGATTCCTGGAGAATAACTGTAAACTGCTTGAGGTTTGACCAAGAATAGCTCTGACCAAGGTGTGTTATTGCTATAGCAGATGAATAAGGCCACAGTTTCAATTCATGTGGCATACTTTTCCATCCTGCTTCCAAGGAAAGGGGATCTGAAACAGTTCACATTCACGGGCGAAAGATAACATTCATTTACAGTTTTGCCTCAGGAATATGTCAACTCTCTTTTGTCATAGTGCACATAACCTGAAATGATCTGGCCATCCTCGAAGAACATCACAGTGATTTAGTACATTGAAAACCATGCAGATTGGACAACATCCAATTGTTTATGCTTTTGTTCCTTTTATTCCTCTGTATTTTTATATATGTAATATTTTTCCAACTTGATTTTCTTAAATGAGGATTATAGCATATATTATACATTTCTCTAATGGCTTTAGTGATATATGACTAAGTACTCAAAATTCTTAGCTAAATTCAGAATAAAATTCATTCAATGTTAGCATACGAGTTAGTACTATTCCAATATAAGATCTAAATATAATAAGCCCTGAGCCAAAGTTCCATGTAATATCCACTTTGGACTTGATGAAAACTTTCTTCATACATCTACAATATTTATTTATATGTATAATATTTATAATGTAGGGTAAAAGTTAACATTTTTTGGAGTAGACCTCTTATTTCAAACTAACTATGTGATATCCATTATTAAAAAATACAAAAAATGATGTACATGCTTATCACATTTTTCTGACAGAATATTTGGCTAAATAGATAAAATATTTCCAGAATTTCTAAGATAGGAGATTAGATGGAAGAATTTTTTAAATAATATTTAACTTTCTTTAGAAAGAAGAAAATATTTTGTTGACTATTATTACACCTTTCTCTTCTTTCAGTAGAGATATGATATGATTTTATATTAGTTTTCCAATAACATTCTATGATAATAAAAATGCTTTTTTCAAATAACCATACCAAAAAACAAGATGATGAAGAGATCTCAGCTAGTATTTTTACTGAAATTATGAAGCAGAAGAAATGCCTAGCAATTACAAATTAAGTTTAATCAAAATAGAATTTTATCAAATGCTTTGAGAAATGGCGAATTTTGACATATTTAGAAAAAAATGAAAGATCTTTATGTAGATTTACATTTCTAGTTTCAAAAAAATAAAGTCATTAAAAATATAGACTATGAAACAAAACTATATCCATCTAAATTCTGAATTGTAAAACAAACAAAAAGCAGTTAACTAAAAGATTAGTAACATAGTCTGATACAAATATCACAAGAGATTTTATTGAAGTCCATGTAGGATTAAATATAAATTGCAGTGGCACTATTTACAATAGTCAAGATATGGAAGCAACCTAAATGCCCATCAACAGACAATTGGATAAAGAAGTTATGGTTCGTATATACAACAGAATATTACTCAGCCATTAAAAAAATGAAATCCTATCATTTTCAATGATAATGGACCATAGAGGTGATTATGAAGCAAAATAAGTCAGACAGAGAAAGATAAATACCATATGACTTCACTTGATATGCGAAATCTAAGGAACAGAAAGAACAAACGAATCGAAAACACCCACAAATATAGAGGATGATCCGGTGACAGCCAGAGGTGGGGAGGTTTGGTAGGGGCTGGAAGATAGTGGCGAAGTGTTAAAGAAGTACAAATTAGTAGTTGATAGATGGTCACGGGGATGGGGTGCACTGCTTGGGGAATGCAGACAGCAGTAAAGTAATGGCTACATGTAGAGCCAGAGGGAAGACAGAGTAATCGGGAGGATTGTTTCATAAACTACATACATGTCTAACCAATGTACTGTATACTTGAAATTAATAAAATGTACATAAATAAAATAAAAATAAATAAAACCAATCACATATAAAAAATAAATTGCAGTGGTCTACATTGAAATTTTTATTATAAAATCAAGAGAGTTTATAAAAATATAACAGCTAAAAGGCTATTTCTTCTAAAGAATAATTTTATTATACTAGAAATGATCCTCAGATGTGAAATCCATTGAAAATATATTTGATAAATTAAAAATTGTATATCCTGCTAATAAGTAAAAAAATTGAATTCTACCACAAGAATAAAGAAGCAAACAAAAATATTTTCCTAAACAACTCTGTGTAAAAGGGGAAAATGAAACTATGAGAAAAATAACAATAATGCTAATAAAAAAACATGGATGCTGACAAGGATTTATTCAGAAAGAAATTAATAACTTTAAATGGTTTCATTATTCTACCTAGAAAAATAAAAATTAAGTACGTAGCTCAAGAGGTTAAAAATAAAATAAGTATATATATATAGAGAGAAAGAATTAATAAAGATAAAGTCAGCAGATAGTGAATGAGGAAATATAAAACTCTGGGAGCCGGTTCTTTTAAAAATACATTAACGAATAGAAGCCACTACCTAGTCTTATTAAGAAGAAAAGTTAAGAAAACACGATGTATAAGTTTAAAAACACAAAAGCAAAAATAATCACAAGTACAGATTAGATATTTTTATTGTACACTGGAATAACATGTTTAAACCTATGCTAATTAAAAAGTTTCAATGAAAAAGAATATATATACACATATATACATATATGTATATATATATGTAGGACAATTTAACACGAAAAAGAATATATATACACATATATATGTGCATATGTACGTGTATATAATATATATATATATAGAACAATTTAACATGAGAATAAAATAGGTGAAAAGGTTGATAACTATATAGAAAAAGAAAAGGTCAAAGTTGTTTCTCTCATAAAAAGGTTTTGAAGTTAGAAAGATAAAATTTTCAAATATGGCAAGAAAGGTAAGTTTCAAGACAATATTCTTATCCATAATAAAATAATTAAATCCTGGGAAGTTTATTTTTTAAGACACATAATTCTATTACCCAAAGTAACAAAGATAAATAAAAATAAAGCAAAATAAATAAAAATAGGCTTTTAGTAGATTTAAAAGTCGACAAGGACAGCAACCGTATTTTACTATTTCCTATAATATTTCTGGTTTTAATACTTATTTCATAAGTAAGAGAATGTAAAGGAAATTTTTAAAAAGAGTAAGAAAAAAATTTAGTTTTATATGTACAGATGTAACAAAACATGACACAAAGTGGATATATTCCAGAATGCAAAGTTTAATATAAGTATACTAACTGAACATAAGGTTTTAAAGAGGGCATATCTAATACCTAATACCTCCTTTCCAACAAAAGTTTAAAAAATGAATAAAAATTCAATATTCTAAAACAAGAAAGTTTTATTCATTATGATTAAAATGTTATCTCACGGATCAGAAAAGAGCCTATGTATTATCACTCTTTTATAACATAAGAGAGATTCCAGACAATCAAATAATAGAAAAAAATATATATTTAGCGTACAAATAGAGAGCAGATAAAATTTTCATTATTTTCTTATGACAATATTTCACTCGAAAAATTTAAGAACCAATCTATCAAACTATTAGATATGAAATAAAATGAAATTATTCAACAGGAAATTTAGCTAAAGAACATAGTTAGGACTGAAGATGATGAATTAAATTCGGTTTTGGATATGCTGAATTTATGTTATTTGGATGATAGATGTGGTCATTAAACTATTAAGAATCCAAGACTGGAGTTCAAAAGAAGAATGGTTGTAAACTAGCCCTTAGCACAATACTTGGCAAAAGTAACTCTCAATAATTATTTGTTGAATAAATGAAACAAACCCATTAGAAAGAGAAAATATCAGATAATAACCAAGATAATGCTAGACCATAAAGTCCAAAACACAGACACACACACACACACACACACACACACACACACACACACACGCGCGCGCGCGTACATACACACATACAACAATGTGTCACATGCTGCACAGGAGTTAAACAGTATGAACCTAGAATATAATTCATTCCATTGCCAGGAAATTACTGTTGATTTTAACATATATAATGCTGGTTGAGAGGTACAAACAGAAGGCAGGTTAAAAAGAATCTGGTGATGATGAAAAGGGAGTAACAAGTGTAGACCACTTTTTAAAACGTATGGTTAAAGTTGATAGGTCATAAAAGCTGCAGTATCTCAATGGGTGCAAGTTCTCAAAACTGAAAAAGAATCCTTCTATTAGCTGCACTGAACCCCTAAAGAAAAAGAATCTCATTGCTCTTACTCCTCAGAATTGCACATACAATTTATTGTTTATAAAGCAAGTTTGAATATTTTATTTCTTTTGCATCTTAAAAAAAAACAGAGATAGACAAGACAGTATTAATCTTCTGTTTAATGTGGGTTCTAATTTTTTCTTCATAATATAATAAATTCATAAGGTGTAAAATTCAAATGTATAAAAAGGTGATAAATCCATCCCACACCTTGCCAAAGGCATTCTATCAGATTCTTCTATCTTTCCAGAGATATTCTCTGCATATATAAGTAGATAAATTTATATTTTGCACAAATGGTAGTAGTATACTTTTACCTGTGAATAGATAATGAACAAAGCTAGCAATATTAATTGACTTTGTCAAGGTTATCTGACTATAAATTTAGAAAGTGGTATGACTGTAGCTAAAATGTATATTTTCTGGCACTGAGTACATTGAATATTACTATATCTTTTGATGAGTTACCTAATAACAGTGATTTTGAATACAATTTTGCAATTACTTATAAATTCAGAATTTAACTAAAAATTAATTTCTGATTAATCTTCAATTGGTAGTAACACCTAATATATTAGCTTGAAGATTCGATAAATATTTCCTTATTCAAAGAGATTAAAAACATTTCGAAATATATTTTAAAAGTAAATAATTGCCCTTAATCATGTATTTTAAACATATTTTTGAATGCTATTGTCACGAAGTTCTGCACATCTGTACTGCATATTGCTATAACATTTTTTGTTTAGTGATTATGTGTAAATGTTTCATCACCAAACTCCTGCTAAAAAATATAATTAAAAGTGTTAAAGCACAAAATATTGTTTTGAGTGTTTCCCCTTTTATTGATTACTCTAATTTTTATTTCTAAATGCAAGTCCTGAGTAGTTTATTAATTACTTTTCAAAACATCTTTTGCATGTAGTTACAGAATATATTATGTAAATCACAGTATTTTATTAATCTATTGTGTTAGATCTATAATGGAAAATTAACATTTTTGAGACATAAATAGCAATATGTGTGACATTCTTAAATAATAGAAAAAAATAGGAATATCTAAAGCTATATTTTCAAAGTACAATGTGTCAACTTTTTGACCACGTTTAAAAGAGCGCCACAATATTTATTTTGCAAAACAATGAAATACAAAGCTGTTGCTTTCTACTCCACTGATTCACTACTTATGTTGAGAAAGGATTATCACATTAACACTACTGACATGATGCATACAATAAATAAAATGAACCTCTGTAAGAAATTATGTTCTGAATTGTGAAACATGAATGTTTCAGTGTGCACACAACTTGCATAAAAAAAAACGTGATTAAAGAAACCAAATCCTTCTATTAGCTGCACTGAACCCCTAAAGCAATTTAGGAATTTGTTTCTTACAGACAATTAATCACATGCAGGCGTGCCAGATGAGAACTATTGATTGCTCTTTTCCAGGCTAGTGGCATTCAGACAGTAGACAGACAAATGCCCTAAGCAAGGAGAAGCATCTTTCTGCCTCTGCCTGGTGCAGCTTTTAATTGTTCTTTCCTAAAATATGTGACATTTTGCTGTTAATCTTTAGTGTAGACCTTACTCCTTTCTCTTTGAGCGATACACATGTGTTATGTTTTTCATTTACCTTTACACCAAGGTCCTTCATAAGCTCAGTCTCAAAATTTACTACATCATATGGCAGCCGGAACTGAGGGATTTCAGAAGTACTGAAAAAAAAAAAAGAAAGAAGAAACATCTGTGAAAAAATCACCAATCTTAAAAAATGCAATATGTCTCTCTGAGCAATATTAAAGGGCTAAGTATCTCTTCTAAGGATATTTTCACATCACATAATGAGTATGAGGAAACCCAAATTTTTATATGCATGATAAAATATTATATGGGCTACAGTAGAAACTGATGTCAAAATAAATATAAACAATAGAAAGCAAATAATAAACAATGGAAAGCAAATAATAAAAAAGCATTTCCAGAACTATTAAGTTTATTAAAGTATTTTAGTTGATTTATCTACTAATAATTCTAAAAGAAATTCCTAAGAAAACAAAATCTTAAAAAATCAAAAATTAAAGTATATATAAGGTTTAATGTACATATATACATATAACACACATATATATTCTATAAGTACACCTCTAGCTTGTTCAAATTCAAATCTGTAGCTTTACATTACTGTATTTAGTATATTACAGGATTAGTTCCATGTGATCTATAGAATGTTTTTATAACAAACTCATCTTCTATGAAAGGAATAAGGGTCCCAAAATCATACAGTCATAAATAAGTAATATCAGTGCTCACTATTTGCACTTAAAACAAAAAAATATAATCATCTCAATAGTATAATAGTTTAGAGTATTAAAGGTAAGCAAAAATAACTTTTCAATGTTTTATAGTATTTAAAAGGCTATATATATTCATGAAATATAGAAATTCATTTATTCATTTATCTATTCATTTAACATACATTTACAAATTGCCAGGCACAATGTTAGCTGCCACGATTTGATGGTAAATTTTACCAAATTCCCACTTTTATAAGCTCTCATTCTGAAGAAGAAAGTTCCATAAAACAGAGGGTTATAATAAAATGTAGTACATGCAATGAGAGAGATATATCCAGGCACTATAGGGATTAATTTGTAAAATAATCAAATAATTGTTGAAAATGAAGCTACTGGATAATTCAGTGCAAAGTCTTCCAAAATATGTATGCAAACTTTGCATTCTTTGGTGGCCTAAGAACTGGATTATTCAATATTTTCTATATATCAAACAACTGGCAAGGCACCATGCTCAGCACTATACAAAATACAAAGTATTAAACGGTGTAAAATCAAGACCTTATACTAAAGGGGCCTTCCATATGGTGAGGACATGAGATTATACATAAGAATAAATTTGGACCTAGATCAGCAATAAGAATGTCTTAAGCTGACTTGCGAACTCCAGCTACACTACCTCAGAAGTCATAATGCTCTGGGGACCACAGATGGCTTGCCTTTGTAAGGTATCATAACATTCCATCCCCAAAAATGCCACTTTGGCATAAGAATTATCTTGAGCTGAAGGCAACTGAAAAGAAGCAGATACAAAGAAAAAAAAAAAAAAAGCTCTCTGCCCCCCTACTATCTGCCTAAAAGCAGGACATAAATTTGCAAAGGTGTATCTCCCTTTCCCTCCCAGGAAAGGCAGGACTCTTAATCACCAAGAAACAATTCTAGACCCTTATCAGCCCAGAGACAGGCACCAAAAGGAATCCACACTACAAAACTTAATAACCCTTATCTTCCATGAGTTTCTCCCATATATCTACCTTCTCACAGTGTGCCACCCCTAAATGCCTAATGTCCTTCCCTTTGTCTTGCCACTTCCACACAAATGTATTGTTCTTTGTTAAATGCTATATAAACCTTAAGTTCTGACCACTCCTTTGAGTGACTCATCACTGAGTTCTACCATGTGTGTACACAATGCGTATGTTAATAAACTTCATTTATCTGTTAATCTGTTTTTTGTCAGTTGATTTCACAGGCCCAGCCAGTGAACCTAAGAGAGAAGAGGATATTTTTTTCCCTCTAAACTTTCATAGTCTAAGCAGAAAGATTCTTAAATATTATGGATTGTATGTGGACACAGACACCCAGTTTTGATAGGCGTGAGGCTCTGTGGGAGAGTGAAATGGACTAAAATTAGGGTCTGATGAAATTCCTCAAAGGCTGAATAGGAAAGCAAAAGCAAGGAGCTGTGGATAAAGAATTCCAGTCAAATAAACCAACTGCAGCAAGGTAAAGCTCTAAACATATCCCAGGTACATTGTGAGCAGAGCACTTTTCTCTCTGGCTCAGCCCTAACCTGGAATTTTTATGGGATTTCAGTAGAAGTATATGAAATAAAATAAAATTTTAAAAAATGATGCTCATGTAGGTCAATGGTTCTGAATTAAGAAACAGCTCTGACAGAGCAGGCTATAAGAAGCTGGAACAACTTTTCTGTTGACCAGAAAGAAAAGAAGGCATACCTAACCTAGGAGGAAGAAACCCAAGCAACGGAGAAGTATATAACTTCGAAGGCAGAAGTAGGCATCAGAATAAATGGGGTGCCAAGCTGCTGGGGTTTGAGCAAGTCTGATTAGACCTTCATACTTCCCACAAGCACTATGTCCAACATTTAGCACAGATTAGCTCATGTATTAAATGAATAATTGTGTGAGAATCACATCTCTAAACCTCTCCAACAGAAAATAAGTAGGTGAGGTACTAGAAAGTGTTGGTTAGATTAGGTCATAATTAAGTAGGCAGGGTGTGGGGATGTGATTACTGAGTGTTACAAATGTGACATATTTATATTCACCAATGGATGAGATCAGCAGACAGATGAGAGATATACACACATACACAGTCCAATGCAAACAAGAGTGTTTCAAAGGAGGAAAGGCTTACTTTGAGATGACATAATAAGGTAGATGAAATGTGACTAACAATCAGCTTTCAGATAAGTGAAGATGAGGGAAGGTACCTGACCGAGGATGGGGAAATTACAGAAAGGGGAAGAGGGAAAAGGTATAAATCCTGTGTACAGGGGGAGGGAAATGGAGCAGAGGCTGTCAGAAAGCCTAGAATCAGGCATCCTGGGTACCAAGTAAATTCCTTCCTGTTTCAGCTCAAAAGCCATCAATATGTGATGACACCCACATATTTTCCTAAATTCAGGACACTTACAGTCACTTGGATATCTAATAGGTATCTCAAACTTGTCATGCCCTAAACTAAACTTTGGTTCCTCCACCCTAACACTGGTCTTCAGACAACCCCAGTCTATGGGTTGCTCAGGCCTCAAACTCCATTATCAATCTCTAACCCTTACCAGCTTCATACTAAACCCAAGCATAGGCAATAAGCGGGTATATTGTTTTAAGACTATTTAAAAACAGTTATAAGACTGACTAAAATAAGTCCATTTTATATTATCATCACGAACTGATAACTCTAAACAATGTCAGTGATATTCTAAACACTGTTTCCCACCCCCCAGCCCCCAAATAAATCTTTGGTGGATCTAAATTCTAAATAATTGCCGTGGCTGCTATAGAGTTTTAATAATATGTGTATATGTTTTATTTTTATTACCCATTCTTTAATAAATATTGAGTTCTACATGGAAGTAATATGAAAAACTGTAGTCAGAGTGGCCACTGGCACATGCTGACTCAGCTATAAGCATTACTCATTCCACTTGCCCGTAGACAGCTTGTCTCCACTCCTGCAATATTACGTATTTCAATCTTTAAACAGTTGATTTGAAATTGATAAAATGAGAGCACATGAAGCCCACATGAATTGCTTCAATTCTGTAATTTTGCACAACTACAAGTTTTCATTTGTGTTTAAAAATTTTAAATAATGAAATAGTGTGAACTATATCTTTAATATTGAATGTTTTAATTATTAATATTTGTTTTATAGAAATAATTCAAAATAATTATTATTGCCAATGATTACATGATTCTTACTGAAAGTAAGTTTATTATATAGACTAGAGGATAAGCATGTTAAATAATCCACTGTGGACACCAAATGTATAAGGCATACCATTAAACTGCCATTTTTTAAAACCCCCCAGTACATTTTTCATTACCAGACATATTCAAAATTTGGTTTACTATTTGCTTACTGTCTGCCTTCCCATCACCAGAATATAAGCCTCATGAGAACAAGCATTTTGATTTGTCCATTTTTGTAGCTCTAGTGCTTGAGATAATGACTAGCACATAGTAGCAGATCAATAAATATTGAAGGAAGGAAGGATGGAAAGGAGGGAGGGAAAAGGGAGGGAGAAAGAGATGGAGAAAGGGGAAAGACAGGTAAATATCAGGTCATGGAAGGCTTTCTGTGCCAAGCCAAGTCCTTTGTCTCGTAGGCTATGAGAAGTTATAGAGAGATTTCAAGTAGAAGAGAGATATAATCAGATTTGGAAACTACAAGGAAAATGGATTTAAAAAGACATCAGGAAGCATAGAGAACCATTTGGAGGTTATGCAGTGAGGCAAGAATTGAGATCTTAAGGACATCAGAGATGGGGTGAGATTATATTTTTAAAAGTATTCACAAAATAAAAATTGCCAGGATACTGAAGAGAGGTGCAGATGATTCCCATGGTTTTGGTGATGCCATCCCCTGTGACAAAAAACTCAGAAAGAGGCACAGTATTGATCTGATGAAATGTATAGAGGAGATGTCCAGGACTTCCGTGTTGACCAGGACCAAGAGGAAGAGGTCAGGTCAGATACAGATTTTAAATAATTTGCATATAGATGATAATTGAAATCATGAGAATAAATGAGCTTACCATCAAGACTGCTGGTAAGAAAGGGGATAAAAGAACAGAAAATGAAATTTGATTGGAATAATTACTTCTCAAGTTTATTGTGTTTATAAAAACAGTTATTCTTTTATCTATGCCCTTTTAACAATCTAAAGTTTTGAAAGAAGTTTATCTTGTGGAAACCACAAATCTTTAGTACAGTCAGTGAAGTGCTAGATACCCTGAAAGAAAAAAATCGTCTTTCTTCTATGCTCACATTTCTTTCATGTAAATGGAATTTACTGATAACAACTCCATTCAATTCTTTTTGAAGCACACTTATACTTTGATAGAGCTTTGCTTTCATTTATTATGGCAAGGGTACCAGGCTTTAAATTTGTGTTGCTTCACACATGTTCTCAAAATACTTCCGATTGCTATAATTATTTCATCTAAACCCCATTTCTCTATATTATCAAGCAATATGGAAGGCAACAGACATAGTGACAACATTGTAACATCTAAAATAGTTAAAGCAAAGGACAATGTTGCCCTGGCTATCCCATCTAAAAAAAATGCCATAATTCATGTATATTCATTTTTATAAGTAAAAGAAAAAATCAGAAAGTATATACATACATGAACACTTAAAGCCTCTTAACGCCATCTTTATTTATCTCTGTTATAATATCAAGCTCTTTAACTCTTTTAAACTCGTGTCTTGAACAGCCACAGTTGGAGGAAAGCAAACCTACTGATTATTTTATAAATTTGTGGCTGTATCAAAAATAATTGATTCTCTTTCACCACCTATAGTGATTTTTTAAAAAAGTAGTTGGGATCCTAATTTACCAGGGATGAAATAATCTATTTGGATGCAAAGGAAAAGGAAAGATAAAACTTGACATCACCTCTTTAAGCAATTGATTTCAAATACAAAGCTAATTTAATCTTTTTTAGCCACTTTGAAGGTACAAGAAAATGAGAGACATCTTAAGTGAGAAAATAAATTAACAGAAAAGTGTTGTGGTTGTAATTCTGGCTAAATTCCAGTGTTGGTTTCTATAACGCTGTCACACTTTGTATTGTCCCTAGGTACTGGGAAGATTGAAAAGCAAAGGAAAGAAAATAAACAAAAAAAATTTAAAAATAACATGTCTGGTCATTAAGCCAGAAAAATGTGTCCCACTGTCCCACTAGAAAATGTCCAGCAAATATATAAAAGGACAAGTTTAGGGCCAGTTTATATGGTTTAGAAATGTCTACCCTGAATCTGAGTTAGAGAGAGAGAAAGATGCTAACAACCATAAAGTCTTCCACCAAAACTGTCAGTAGAACAATTCCCAAACAGGCTTGTTCCATTTTAGCTTCTTGTAGAAATGCAATTACAGGGCAAAAAGATTTTTCCTAGTCTACTAGGGTATACAACAATTAAGTTCATATTTTTTTAAATTAGCTCACATATTTGTTGCTGTGTATAATTGAAAAAAATGTATAATGCTTATACATATGTTGCTGACAGATTATGTTTTCTAATTAATAAAGCTATAGTAAAATGTCATTTAAAAAGATAGTCTAAATTATTCTGGTGAAATAATATATTAGGTACTTTATTTCCAGGGGAAAAAAATTACAAAATATGTGTAATACCTTAAAACTCATAGTGGTGAAACATCAATACAGAAAAATAATTATTTTGTGCCAATCCGGTTACTTTTTCTTCAGTTTATGCTTTATATTCTCTTTTATGGGTCTTCATATTATGGGATATTTTTGTTTGATGATTCAAATAGTTTAATATTCATGAAAGCTAATCTTGGGTTTAGCATATCGTTACTTGACCAATAATGAAATTTATACATTTACTGACACATATTTATAGGTGTCATAACACATCGAAAACATAAACACAAATTTTAGCCATAACTTGACTAAATTTATTCTCTGTGATTAAATATGAAAAATGTGCTGCTTCAATAATAGTTCAGTAGCCATCAAAATTTAAATGCTAAGTACAGAAACAGACATGCAAAATTGTTGTATTTTATAATCCATGATTTTCTGATGAACAATGACACATTTAGGGAAATCAACAATAAATTGAATAATATTATTAACTTACCACCCAAATACTTTGTCATTTTTACATCAAATGTTTTAAGCGATATCCACTCCCAGATTATAATAAACTTTATTTCTTTATGATCGTAAGTAATATATGTACACTATAGAGTTCCATTTTTAAATAAGCTCCATCCAATTTCTAAGCTTGGTTTTAATATCTGAAAGTTGCCGATACAAAATGAATATTTTCCATTTAGATGCATTACTCTTTATGGAAATAAAAAACCATGTGACTGAATCTTGGTTTACATAAATTATACTGGTTAATATCAACTATTATTTTTGATATTTATGGTATTTATGAGATAAACTGAATAAATGTACATCAAAACATTTTTAGTAGACTCTGAGATAATCAAGTGCTAAACTTAAGAGACTGAAAACTGAAAATGTGTGCAGAACGACATATCTGTTACACAACAAAATGAACTGTCCAAGATTCTGTGAAGCTAGGTTTTCCCCATCTCTAATTTTCATAATTTTGGATAGATTTCCATTAAAGGAAAGATTCACAGGGATGAAACAAGTTTTCATAGGATCTGTTCCTCTATCTATAAAATGTTTTTCTGAGATTTCTCTTAAATTCATAAAACTAGACAGAAATTTAAAATAAATATTGCTTAAAGCCAACTTCAAATTCAAAGTGAATAATAAAATCAAAATTTGAACATTTGGAAAAAGAACATTTAAAATACCATCTGTGAGCCTGAAGTTCCCATATAATTATGAACCAACAATATTCATAATTGTTTTACCCCATCATTTTTGATACTATAAACATGAAATAAATGTAGGCATTACCTTAAACCACCAACGTATTCTTGTTTTTCAAATATAGTGATGTCAGAGTAGCCTAATCGAGCCAAAAAGGAAGCACAACTTATACTTGCAGGCCCAGCACCAAAAAGAGCAATCTTTGCAGAATAGGCTTCAGGCATTTTTTCTGGGGGAGGCAAAGAAGGATTTTTGATTTGTGGTATATTCATCGCTTTGAACACCTGTGGAGAAATCAATTGCCATGGTTAAAAATTTTAAACTAATTTTTATATCCTCGAACATTTTTAATGTTTCAAATGCATTGGCATTTATAATAGAAATAAGCAGTACATTTTCAGTAGTAATATGGCATACTTACAAGTTGTACTGGGTCAACTAAATGAAAAGTTATGATGACTAACTTTTTCTCAGTCTTTGAAATTCCTTTCTAGGGTCACATCTCCTACAGGAAGCATCCTTGCTCACTTTCCTTACTCCCACCTCTAGCTAAGTGTTAAATGCTTCTTTGAGTTCCTAAGAACATACTTTGTATGCTTCTAACAGAACCACTTAGCAACATATCCGTGTTTCACATGTCCATGTTAGTCAGTAGGACGTTAGTTCCTGGGTCACAGAGTATATCATATATAAAAACACTTGCACATATCACTTAATAACTGCATGTTTTAGGTATTCAAAAAAAAACAAAACATGTTATTATTGTACTGCCAGCAGTTAGCACTAATGTGGCACACAGGACACATTCAATAAATAATTTGTTGACATTTGCTTCTGGTTATGATAGATTAGCTTTTGAAGGATAACATTTCAAAAATCAGATGGAAGCATTGGAGAGCTACTGAAGTAAGAGGGGCCAAGATCTCAGACACAAAGGAACAGCAGAGAAGTGGGATGACAGTTCATCTTGAGGGAATTGGCTATTTATTAGCAAAAGGAGGAAAGCTAAGAATCTTGTAAAGGACCACAGCTTAGAGGAGACTGCAAGAGAGATTTGGGCAATCTTCTAGGAATAGAGATGCACAGCAATTTTGGGAATGTAGGAGGCCAGAATTCGGAAGCAGAAGAAAGTGCAGAAAAGTGAGCTTAATTCTTAAAATGCATAGGATAAAAGGCTAAGCATTTAAATAAAATTTCTGTAAGGCAGAAGGAAGCTTTCTGTACTCCAATGGTCCAGAGGAAACAAAAATGGAGTGTAGGAGTAGCTAAAATAGGAAGAGCCATAATAAAGAACCCAGCACATAGCTGAAACTTGTAGAGGGCTACACGCTACAAGTGGGGAAAAGCAGAGTCAGATAAGCAACCCAGACTGAATCAGCTCAGCCCGTTTTGAATGCAGATCATTAGTTCTCACAGAGTGAACCTTCTGTGCAGCATAGTAAGTCAACCACAGCATCTACAATTTTCATACACAATGCCTGATTTTTAATCAAAAGCCCAGGCTTGCCAATAACTAAAAACTCCCAAGAACTAAGAAAATAGTGATGCATATCTGTAACCCCAGGGTCTACTAGAATTCTATTGCATAGTAGGCATCCAACAAGATTTTGATGAATTTCAAAATTCTTGAACTCTAGTGATAGGATCCACAAATGAGTAGCAGTTACCAAGGAAAGACTGTTGTTCTTCCATGATATAGAACAGTTATTTATAGGTCAATATTCTTCTTGGGGAGCATTTTAAAATACATTTCTTTGCATAATCACCCTGTGCTTTCTGACCTTTCACTCATCTGGAAAGTGCATGTCTTTCATCACTTCAAATTGACTCTACTAGCATTTTTTACATAATTTTCACATTATTTTGAGGCGAGGGAGAGATTATCCTGATTTTAAAAATGAAAAGATGGAGGCACAGAGAGGGGTCATGGGATTTCCCCTCAAGTCTCCTCACATTCTGGAGACAGAAACAGTATAGTTTTCTAATCATTATATAGTGCTCTCTAAAAGAAAAAAAAGGACATAACATGGCAAATGCAAGGATATTTACCAGTTCTAATTTGAGGGTATCTCTCATTTTAATCTTTCTTTCTTTCTAAAATGGTACATAATGAAAACAAACACAAATGTTTGGTAGCTATAATTCTTCCTCAATCACTCTGTTCTTCTTAACCAAGTAATAGCAAAAATAAACTTGGAAAAATCATGACAAATAAAATATTCCTATAAATTTTGGAATATCTACTCTAGTTGAAGGATGAATTGCAAAAGGATGGTTGTATTCTACATAACTCTGAAGAGATTTACATTTGTGCAATATTTAACTTGATTTCATTATAAAATGAAAGTTAATTTCTGATCATTTCTAAATAGATATTTCATCAGTGCCAGTCTAAGAGAAATATTAACAAAAATAATACATTGATTTTCATTGTGCTGGTTTCAGTTTCTTTGAGTTATCTAATTAGCAATACGACAGTCTGGTTCCTATTTGAATGCATGAATGGAGACAAATTGCTATTTGTGCATCCAAAAGTAAGTTACCTCAAACGACATGCCTCCTAGGAGATGCTTCTATGTAATTTTCTTTGAAACTTGCTTCCTTTTGTAAAATAAGTCGAAGGAAATACTGAGTACATACTATTCATTGTTCTCATCCTTTGAGAAGAAATTTTATTGGGCTACCTGGAAGTTTTCTTCACAATTTGGTGCCACAGAAGGGGCACCAAATTAGGAACTTTGTTTCAAATGTATCAGAAATAAGGAACACTTCATGCTATGGCAAATTTTCAGTTATCGAAATTATTCATGTATTAGTAATTCTTAAAGATGTTGTTTTACGATTTTCTTATTATTAAAATAGACAATATTGTGAGACATCTCTGGCATGGTAAAAATGCTGCGTAATTTTAAGAACAGTATATTCTGATCTATTCCATTTTTACTTTAGTTTGGTAAATATCTTTATGCACCCTCTATACAGCAGACAACAGTATGAGTAAGACAAAGACCCTTCAGTAATTAGCTCCCTGGATAAAAGAGTACTCATATGTTTTAAATATAGAAAAATTACTACCGTCAATCTGTCATGTGCAGGGTTCATTTTTACATATGGTTCTCTTGGATCCCACGAGGGGAAAAAAATTTAAAAAAAGAGGAAAGATAACACCTGAGTGAAATATTTTTTAAAATGACATGCGTTACCTTGGAGAAGACTACACCTCTCTAAATATCATCTCTAAAATTAAGAGAGTAATAATTACTTCTGCAATTTACTGTGAAGACTGAATGAATAAGTGGGTAACTTCCCAGGATAGCACCTTTTCTTTATAGGGTACTCTCCGAGGTGTTTAGATCTGTCAGTCCTAACAATCTTCAAAGGTATGTATGACAGCTCATTTTATGGACAAAAGAAGTGATTCCTAAGTTGTTATTTTTACATTATAGTTCATATTTTACTATGAATAAACTACATGCTATGTTTGAGATTTGAGCCTGCAATTGAATTAAATTGGTTGAAGTGGACCAAATACAATTTGAAAACATAGGTATGTAGAGTTTGGTTATAAATGACTTTACTGATCCATATTCATAGGCAGGTTCAAACTAAGTATAAGCACATTTTTGCCTTCAGGATTTAATCATGCTATGCTCTGTGCCTATTCACCCATTCCTGACTTTGCTGCCCTTCTTGAACACTTTTCAGGATCCAGTTCAAATTTCACTTTCTCAACTCAATTTCCTCTCCCTGCTAGGCTATCTATAAGGTTTCTGAGCTACTGGCTCTGGTAATACTGTCTCACTGCCCCCTCTTAGAACTTCTTTGTAATTTGCTTGTTTAATTTTCTTTATCAATAGGCAATAAGCTCCCTGGGGCTAGCATCATTTCTACCTTGTCCATCTTTGTACTCAGACACTGCTACATATCCAGTTAGTCACTCAGATATGCGTTCAATGGAAAATAAAGCTGCTAGGGGCCAGCCAATCCATGGTACAGCTTGCTGGGGACAAAAGAATGGCAGGGAGACAAGAGAGAATGGTGGAGACCTGGTGAACGGAAGAGATCCTCCCCTATCCTATCAGCTTCAGCTGATAGTTCTGTATTTATAAAATGTTTTCTAGAAATAGCAGTAATGATTAACTATGGAGCCAATGTTACTTATAAGCAGATTAATAAAATGGTAAAAGAACAGTAATTAGAAAGCAGTCAAAATTTAAATGTACTGGTCATTATGTAATATGTCAAAAAATAATTTACTAAACTATTTCCAGTGTCAGCTATTTGTTTTATAGGTCACTATTATTTTTGCTTTTATGCTCTATTTTATTATCGTCTATCATATTAATTTCCTTTCTTCTGCTTTTCTAGAATTTACTACCACCACCACCATACTCCTCTCCCTTTCTTTGCTCTCTTTCTAGTTCCTTGAGATAAACACTGCTAATTTATACATAATGTTATCTTTTCTGCTATACACACTTAACATAATAAATTTTCATGTAAAAAATGACTTTGGCTGCATTTCACAGGTTATCAATGGAAGATGCCATTCAGGTCTAAAAAGTTTGTAATTTCTATTATGATGATCTCTTTAACCCATGAGTTATTTACAAAGGTGCTTTTTAAATTTCCAAACATAAATTTGTTGTTGATAATTTTCATTTTTCATATTTTAAATTTTATTTCTAATTTAATTGTTATAGGAAAAATACAGTCTGTATATACTTGTTTAGAAAACTCTATCTGTAACTGTTTCTGATCCAATACATGGTCAGTTTTGATAAATGTTACACAAGTGCATGAAAGGGCTCCATTCACTCTGGAGTAGCTGGGCACAGAAACCTTTATAGATTTATTAAATCAATCTCATAAATCTTATTCAATATTTTATTCATTCTGAGTAATTCTATGTTGTAATGTACATGCAAGTTTATAAATGTTACATCTTTTAAGACATTTATTTTTCTTCGTTACTTAGTTTTTATTTTTCTTATTTTCCCTAAAATTTCACTTCTGTTACATATTCATATCACTACACTAAGTTCCTTATGGTTAGTATTTGCAGAGGATATCTTTTTTTCAGCCAACACTTTTTTCAAGTGTTGTGCTAAGGTATTTCTCTTGTAGGCATTATGTAGCTATTTATTGTATTAATTTTTAATCCATACTAGAGTCACTTATGTTTTAATAGGGAAATTTAATAAATGTAAATTATTGTGATTGATTAAATTTTAATTTTTAACATAGATATTTCAATGTTTTTACAAACATATTTTCAAGTTAT